GGGGGGTTTTCGGGAGGGGAAGGGTGTGGGGGGGAGGGGGCCCCCTTGGTTTTGATCGACGGCGCCAAGTGTTGGGGGGGGGCCCACCCCCCGCCTCGAAACGCGCCGCCGAACGTTTCGAAGGCAAGCGCCCGTGAAACGCGATCTCTTCTCGATCAGGAGCGGCCTCATCTTTCACAGAGTCCTAGCAGGGTTGGATCCACCTGCAATGTAATCTAATCAGGGATGGAGAGACCTCTGGTGTTACTCGACCAGGAAAGGCCTATCTCTAATATAATCCTATTAGAGGTGGGGCCATTTCTAATAAGGATCTTAGGGTCCACCTGCAATGTAATTTAATCAGGGATGAAGGGACCTCTATTGTAACTCGACCAGGAAAGGCCCATCTCTAATATAATCCTATTGGAGGTGGGTCCATTTCTAATAAGGATCTTCTTCATGATAAAGCAATCCTTAAACCTAATACTGTTAATGAAGGGCTCACATGTACAAAAATCTTATTAGCGGTGGGTTCACCTCTAAAGGAATCTTGTTGGGGAGGGAACCATGTGCACAAACGAACATCAAGTAAAGGTGGGTCCTCTGACAGAATCCTATTGGGCTCACCTCCGATAGAAACCGAACGAGAATAAAACCAACTGGAATATAATACTATTAGAGGAGGATCCACCTCCATGTGAATCTCAGTGGGCATGGAATCACCTCTAGTCGAATCCAGGATCCCTGGGGCCACCTGCGACTAGCCATTGCGATGCCGTGCTAAACCCTGGTCCCTGCTAAGCCCTGCTAGGCCTGGCCGAACTTTGCTAGGCATTGCTAAGCAATGCGGCCTTTTGCTGGGCTTTGATAAGTTCTGCTTGCCACCTGCCAGGCCCAGCTAAACCTTGATAGTCCCTGTCAAGCCCTGCTTGCTCATAACACCTGCTAACCTTGTCAATTTCTGCTAGCACCTCGACAACCTGCTAAAGCATGCGACGTTTTCTAAGCCATGCGGAGCCATTTCGTTTATAATATGATGAGAGATGAAAGAAATGCTTCTGAAATCATATAGAGGTGGATCCACACGCTTAACACAATCCCATCAATGATTAAACAAAATACAGTAAACGCCGAAGACGGAATGACTCAGCGCTAATATGACCACATGAGAGGTGGATCCAACTCTACTGGGTTTTATTCATGGAATGAGGCCACGGGTAATTGAATCGCAGGCACTGCGGCTGCACCTCAAATGGGACCCCATGAGGGGGGTCCACCTCCAATCGAACTCCATGGCTGGTGAAAGCACCTGGGTTATCATCGTATTAGATATGGGAACACTGCTATTTGAATCCGATGGGGAATGGAGCCACATACAATCACGCCTAAGCTATGCTCAGCCCCTGCCAATCGCTGCTAAGCCTTGCCCCGCTGAGCCTTGCTAGCCACTGCGATCCCGTGCTATGCCCTGCTGGCCTTCTGCTAAGCCTTGATAAGGTATGCTAGCCACCTGCCGAGCCCAACGAAGCCTTGATAAGTCCGACCAAGCCCTTCTAGGCTCTGCTAGCCCCTGGGATTCCCTGCTGCGACTTGACAATAGTTGCTGACATCTGCTGGCCGTGCTAAGCTCTGCCAGCACCTTGGTAACCTGCTAAGCCATGCGGAGCCGCAACTACTATCATCTTGTCAGGGATGGGTATATTGCTAATGGAATCCGATTAGTGGTGGATCCACCTCTAACACAATCCGGCTGAGGAAGGAGCGAGATATAATACAACCGGACCAAGGAAGGGCTCAGTTCTGATAGAACCCCAATCAGAGGTGGATCCACCTCTATTGGGCTCCTGTTATGGACGGGGCCACGGGTAATTTAATAGCATGCAATGTGGATGCACCTCTGACAGATACCAATTAGAGGTGGATCCACCGCCAATAAATCTCCATAACGGGTGGTAGCACCCGCGGTGTAATCTTATCAGATGTGGACCCACTTTTGCTTGGATTTTTTGGGGACGGAACCACGTCCAATATAATTATATTAGGGGTGGGTCCATTGCTGATGGAATCCGATGAGAGATGGAGGCGATCTCCCTAAAAAAACATCGGATGCTGCAAAACAGTTATTTCAAGAAGCGGGTATATTTAAGCCCAATAGAATACATTTGTAAATGCCCCACGAGAAGAACCTTAGTTCAAAGTCGCACAAATGGGGTTATATCTGGAACTCACGCACTAGAAATCAATGTGTAAACCACCCACAAAAAAAAGACTCTGATTGCAAAGATGCACATCTACGAATTCTATGTGTAACCCACAGAACAGAAAACGAGTTGCAAACCGTCCAAAAAAAAGAAATCGTATGGAAGCACCGCGCAAACAAAAATGTGTGTGCAATCCGCGCAAGAAAAATCAATGTGTAAATCGGCTACAAAAAGAAATCCGATTGAAAAACCACACAGATGGATTTTATGTGTAATCCACACAATAGAAATCATTTTGGCAATTTCCCACGCAAGGATCTTCTTTTGGAAGAAGAGCAGAAAACCAGTCTTGGACCTTCCAGGAAAAACGACAAAAGGCGCCCCCTCCATTTTCCATGTTTGTTGCCGCGCCCGCCCCGCACCAGAAACAAACATGGAGGGGGTGATGTTTTTTTCCCCCGAAAGTCCTAAACTTTGTCTGGCCTCCATTGAAAGAAATTCTTTTTGTGGGTGATCTACACATTGATATCTACTCTGCTGTTTAGAATTAGAATATTTGTTTGGCCGCCTTTCAGTAGGAATTCATTTGTGAGCGGATTACAAAAAAAGTTTCCATTATGTGGCTTACACATAGAATCCTTACGCACGGCTTTTCAATCGGATTTCTGTTGTGGGCAATCTACCAGCAGTTTCTATTGTGTAGATGACAACTGATAAACAATGATACCGGAGAAAAAAACCCAATCAGGGCTATAGGGCTAGGGGGCTATAGGGATAGCTATATGGATATTGAACTATAGGTCTATAGAGCTATAGGCCTATAGAGTTGTAGGGCTATAGGGCTATTGGGCTATAGGGCACCCCCGGGCACGCCCGGGCACCTGGGCGTGCAGCGAAAATCGGCGGCAAACCTAACCTAACCATATGAATCCGCTAGGACCCCTACTGAGGCAAGCTCTGATTGGGGAAAAAACCATCGTCCCCTCTAATTTGTTGTTGTTATTTTCCACCCAAGCCCCGCCCCGGCCCCGAACAAAAACAAAATATATGGAAAATGGAGGGGGCGACGGTTTTTCGTTGTTTGTTTTGTTCTTCTTCTTCGGGAGGTTCAAATGTTTCTTGGCTCCCCCTCAAAGGAAATCCTTGTGTGAGCGATTTACACAATGATTCCTATTGTGTGGATTACAAGTAAAATCATTCGTTGTGCGGCTCTTCAATCGGATTCCGTTGATGGGCAATTTACAGTTTGGTTTCTTTGGTGTAGATTACATTTAGAGTCCTTTTGCGCAGCTTCTCAAGAGGGTCATGCTACATAATTAGATACGACGCATGAGATGAGAGGGAAACGAAACATGAAGAAATGAAATTACACAAACCGAATAGTCAAACAATTTCCACCATATTGACACACACCACGAACATAACTTCCAATTAGTCTCAGATTTCCCCTTTTACGGAAGAGGAGGAGGACGAGGAGGAGGAGGAGGAGGAGGAGGAGGAGGAGGAGGGACGAGGAGGAGTAGGACGAGGAGGAGCGTCGAGGAGGAGGAGCATCGAGGAGGAGCATCGAGGAGGAGGAGGAGGAGGAGGAGGAGGAGGAAGAGGAGGAGGATCAAGGAGGAGCACGGATGCCCGCCCCGCGTGCCCTGCTGCTCCTCGGAGAGCTCCCGGCGCGCCTCCCCTCCCCGGCCCCCCACAGGGCGCCGATTTGGCGCCGCCCGGCCCCGCGGCAGCGCCCCACCCGGGCCGCCCCGCGGCCGCCAGCCGCGGGCCCCTCGGGGCGCCCGCGGCTCCCCCTGCCGAGGCGAGGATTCCTCCACGGCCACAGCCCCGGACTCCCTCGGCCCCCTCCAGGATGCCTCCACGGCCCCCTGGGGTCACGAGCGAAAGCACGAGGGCGGGCCGTTCGCTCGTTTCGGCCTCCGGGGGCTCTTGAAGGGCCCTCGGGGCCGCCCAGAAACGATGCAGGACGAAAAGCCGGTCCCAGGGAATGGGTCGAGACTTCCAGGGGGGAAATAATGAAAAAGTCCTGACCTGGGGCTCGTCGTTGGTTCTTGCTTTTCGTCGTCGTCATCGTCTCCGCCGTCATCGTCGCCCTCCCTCCTCTGCGAGTTGTCACGCTCACGGATTACACGGGGATCTAAGTGCAGCCCGGGCTCGGGCCCAACCGCCTCCATCCACACGGTTGGGCCGCGTCGTGTCGACCGGCGACGACCTCGCCGCCAGCGTTCCGCGTCGAACGCCGTCCGTGGCCGAGAGTCGGCCCATCGTTGAACGATCTGGCGTTTCGGAAACGGCCGCTCGTTCGAGGTTGAACGATCCCCGTGGTGTCAGGAACTAACGTCGGGTCTAGCCAGGACCCCAGGTAAGGGGACCCGGTTAGTGGTAGGGCCCCAGAGCCCCTCAATTGGCCAGAATCACTAAACCAGTTCTGCCGTAGCTGTTTTTCGGGTGACGGCAGTTCCGGTTAGTGGCGCCGGCGGGGGGGCGTC